TAATGAACCACTCAATCGGTTACACGGATGAGGAAGACTCAACCTCTAGGCAATGTTATGAGAAGAACAAAACTCACATTCACTTGAAACGGACGTAACTCTTGGCTATAGAAGATGTCGGACAAAAAAAACAAAACCCTAGAAGGTAGAAATAGAAAAAGAGCAACAACATAAGAAAACCTTTGACTCGTTACTGCCCAAAAAACGCCGTCATCATCGAAGACTCTTGCCAATCGGAGAAGAGAAAGTCAAAAGATTATATTCGTCCAGCAATTCGCCGCATATGATTCTTGGGACCGACTGTAGCCCTTAAAGTTTTCGCAACCTTTTGGCGGAGTTGTTAAGTACTAAAAACTTAAATTTTAAACATAATGAATCATAAAATATACATAAAAATATATCAGTATATATATACATACTAAATGTAGAGAGCCGGGCTTATCGGCCCAAACGGGCCTAAATCCTAATCCATGCCCGCCCATATGTTATCGTGGGTCGGGGACGAGCCGATAGATGAATACATAATATATATATAACAGACGAGCCGATAGAAAGCCGATATATATATATATATATATATATATATATATATATATACACACACACACACACACACAAACGCTCCCATTTTTGTGAGCGGTCTGCCGGGCAAACCAGAGTTAAGCTCCCATTTTTGTGAGCGGTTTGCCGGGCAAACCAGAGTTATCATCAATGACTCCATCATATTACATACTCATCAAAAGTATTTTACAAAATATTCACAAATCACTTTATTTAATTACTATTTAAATAATATTGTCATTTTTGTATAAGGAGGGGTGTATTGCATTAGGATTTGGTAGCAAAATTTTAAAAGTGCATGGATTTTAAAAGTCTATAAAAGTCTAGGCATATTCAAACTTTCGTTCATTCTTATTGACTTCTAAAACCATGAATTCTTGTGGACTTTTTAATTTAACATATTTTTACTACATTAATTCTCTAGAGTCTTTTTCCTCACCAAAGATTTCTGTGGACTTTTCTGTTGTCTTATACTCGTTACAAGTAAAAAAATACTCGTTGCAAGTACACATAGATCTGGTTGCAGAATAACCGAGATCACAAACCGTCCAACAGGTCCTGGAGTAGTACCAGACGAATCGGGAGGTGGGTACCAGAACGGTCTCAATGCGCAAGATTTGAAAATTAATTTTTGATTTTTTATCATTCTACGATAATTATAGTTGAACAAGGAGATTCTACATCAACACTAATACACAAGATAAAATTAAAAAAAATGATTTTTTATATCGTCTTACGAAAAACAAATAGGAGTGAGATCGTCGGTTCAGTTCTTGAAAGAAAATCAGAAACCATTTAAAGAACCGTTAATCCAATATTGATTCGATTTTAAAAGTTTATAGAAGAACCGATAAAAGAATCGATAGTTATATATCGGTGCAATTATGGTATGTTGTCAGTTAACCATAAACTATTACTGTGTTTCATCATTAAACCGCTGACACATAAAATTTTATTTCACATTAATAAAAATTTAACCTTAAATAAGTAAACAACATCTAACAAGCTAATAATGAAAGAAAGGATTATTAAGAAGAAAAACTCAATTGCACCTATGCTCGTACCACATGAAGCAACGAGTGTAACACTTGTGTAACATTTAGTGTTTTTGCTCATTGAGTTGTGTAACATAACAATTGATCATAAAGATATTGAGTTTGTTGAGCATTCTCGAAACTTTGAATTTTCCTATTATTAAAAATATATTTTCATGCTTATGCTCATTTTCTCTTATAGAACCCTGTGTTGCTGGATGAACTTCATTTGTTTCATTTATTCGTCTAATTGTTTTTTTTAACCCGAAAGGTAAACCACCAAAATCAGTGAGGTAAATGCCGGGGAACATTTATCAGGATTTTATTAAGATGAGGGATATTAGAGAAGAGGAGGGATACTATACCAAGACCTCTTCAGAAAAGGCATACCTTCCCAAAAAACAACGAATTAAGAAAATGAGATGGACTGAGGGGGCAAGACCTGACCCAATACAGAAAGAAACAATAGAAACTAAATAATAAAAGGCCGAAAAATCAGTCCAAAAAGAAACAGGCCCAAAAACCTCCAGCCTAGTAAAGTGATAGTCTGAACCAGAAGAAGACTTTCCTTTTCAAAACGCACAAATCACTCACGGTAGGACTAAAACATAGCATTCTTCCGAAATATATGATCATATGTTTGATCTTAATTAGAATTAAACATTACATTTGTACCCCCTAATTTAATTAATTGTCCATATTTCTCTTGCATAATAAAAGTCATTTCATTGGTGACAGATCAGTCCGATGACTGCGGAGGCAGACGACGGATCGGTAGACGGTAGCGGTGATCTGGGTGAAAGCTTTGACGTTCGACAACGGCGATCCGGATTTAAAAATTAATAGAATTCATTCATAAAAAAGTATATAATTTAAAAGTCATGGACTTTTTAAAATTACGTGAATTAAAAAATTCACCACAATCCATATCCAATACGCTCCTTAAAAATCATAATGGGGATGAGTTAGGAAGTGTTTTGCAAATACTTTTGCTTTAAAAAAATATTTTTTGAAGTGATTTTGGAAAAAGTGATTAGTAGTAGAAGTTGATAGTGTTTGAGAAATAAATTATTTTGAAATGCAAAAGTATGTAGTGTTTGGTAAAATACAGAGTAAGTGTTTTTGTGTAGTAGAAAAAGTAAAAAGCAATTTTCACACCAAAGTCGAGAAACACTTTTTTAAAGTAGAAGTTGTCACTTGAAAACACTAATTTAATTTTTTTAAGTTAAAAAACGAGAAACGCTTTTTGTTAAACTATTGCAAACACTCTCTTAGTAAATGAACCACATGAGGATTCAAAGCATAGAATAGAAGATTTGAAAAACGTTTCAATTCGGGAAATTTTTCATTCTATAAGCAAATACTACCTCCGTCCCTTTTATATTGGGACGGAAGAGGGTGATACGATTCTTAAGAAAAGTGGGTTTGTGTGGTTGATATTAATTGATAAAGTAAGAATGGTGTTGAACCACACAAACTTTACCAAATATGATATGAGACAATTTTAGTGAGACTTCCCAAAAAGGTAAAACGGTACAATATAAGGGGACCAAGGGAGTAATTCGTATAATCAAAATACTCTGGTTTCGCTCTATCAGGAATTTAGAATTGATTGGTTCATGCCTTCATTTTTTTTGGATGGAATGTAAATTTTATTAGCACCCAATGAAAACTATACATCCTAGATCTACCAACCCCCAATTAAAGTGGGGATGAGAGAAGGTTTTTGTTGTCAAAACCAAGCTGGGGCCTTAGTATGAAATGCACGCACTCACAGTTGGGCAAACATCCAAAAATTTCAATTACAAAGGAGAAGGTGTTGCATGCCTTCATGAGTTTATGGCAATCGCCGTTGAGTTGTTTGAAACTCGCACAACAACAACAAATATATAGAACTAAGTACAACAATGTTCACAACAATCAGAGTGGCGCAGCGGAAGCGTGGTGGGCCCATAACCCACAGGTCCCAGGATCGAAACCTGGCTCTGATATTGGTTTTGTTTGCGCAATTATTTCTCCCGTGATAGTGTATGCTTGGTAATATATTTTTAAAAATGGAGAGAATAACAACACGGGGATGTAGCTCAATTGGTAGAGCACTCGCTTTGCATGCGAGAGGCACGGGGTTCGATCCCCCGCAACTCCATCGAATTCTGATCATTTTATTTTCAATTTTTTGGACATTTCAAATGAATACCTATCCCACTATCTCCTAATTTTTATTTGTTTTACTTTCACATTTATTTTACTTTCAGATTTATTTTAATATAAAGTTCTAAAATATTACGAAGTACTGTTGTATTTCATCCCCTTAAATATCTTCGATTATGTGTTTCCACTTTCTAATTTTAACATCTTTTACTCCTATTTAATAAGGACAATTTTTTATGATATACTATCCACTCTACCCCTTAATGCCTTCAAAAATATTTTTATTGAATTACAAAGTATTTACTATCTTGATTTAGTCATTTTTATTTTTCTAATCAAAGATGGTAAATTTTGATTCATTATTTTAACTGATATATTTATGTGAAACTTAATAAATTTATACTCTTATGATAATATTTTTATTTTTTCACATTAAAGTGGTAATGTCCAATGCTATTGTAGGAACATTAATTCCTCGGTTTAGGTCGGAGCGAATATGAGTAATATCAATACACTATTTGAATACATAGTTTTTTGTTTCTTTAATATAAAGAATGCATATTTTGTTATTTACAAAATTACAAAATAAATTAAAAAGAACTTTAGAGTTTTTTCCTAAAATAATGCTAAATAAAAAAGTATTTCCCATAATAGGGTCGGGTTAAAAATATTTCCCAAAATGCTGTTGTAATTAAGGGCTTACGCCAGAAGATGGTACTATGCAACGCAAGACAAAAAGGTGAATATTAATTTTCTTGGTTCCCCACCAATAAAAAATCTCCTATTTTTTTTAAAAGTTCAATAACTTTTTCATTTGTATTCTGATGGTTACAAAAAATACATCAAATTTTATAACTTTTTATTACCTTCCATATGAGTCCAATATTGAATATATAAAAATAAAAAATAATTTATCACCTTTAAAGGCCTTATATCTTTTAAAACTCATTTTTATCATGTTTTCCGCTAATCAAGTTTATCGGTCAATTTTTTCATCAAATACGCAGTTTTATATTCAGCGAATTGAATTATAAAATAAAAAAATAAAGTTGTAATTACTTTTTTTGCTATACTCATTTTAACCCGTTTTCATTTAATTTTTTCTATATTTTATTAATAAAATATACTCTGTACTCTGCATTTTAATTATATTTTTCCAAATTTAGCATAATCAACCAATCCAGTCACTTCAGCCTAACTTCATAAGTTTCAGTAGAATTAGCTAATTCAACCGATTTTGGTAAAACTCTGAACTTTATGAAGTGAACACACAAAAAATGTGGCAAATTTTATAAACATTAATTAGTCCAATATGGCATTCTGACCTCTAAAGCCACCCATCTCACTCACACACACAAGTTAAAAAAAAAAAAAGAGAACCAATGCCAAACATACATAAACTCCCGAAACAAAAAAAAGGCCTCAAATCAAAGAAGCACCACCAAACTCCAATAGTCCATGGGTTATTAATCAATTAACATCAGGGGTCTCCATTTCGGGTTTCTCTTGTTCAGCCTCTTGCACTTCCTTCTCCGTCTTCTTTCCCTTCTTTGAGTTGTAGTACACACTCATGAAGGTGCCTATGATTTTATACTTGCGCTTGCTGTCTCGCATTGCTAATAGAACCCAGAATCAAACATCCTCCAGAAGATCTTTTCCAACAAATCAGACACTGCCAATGAAACATAATGAGGTGAAACTTGAAACTCTTTGCAAAGCCACTTTACTGGTAACCTCCTACAAATATTCTTAATCTCGAAATATGATGTCTTCCTGTTCAAAGTAGATAGTATAGAAAAAAGGATGATGCAGCTGCAAATGTAAATACTCTCTATTAATAACATGAATAGAAATATAGAATAACAACTAAAATATGCAAGAAGATTGCTATGAAATGCAAAAAGACTTTGTAGCAATAAGCTGCTGTTTTTTCCGGAAACAATCTCCCGAAATGCAAAAAAAATGCCTTAACCGTTAAAGAATGAAAGAAAATAATTTCTATGCAAGGAAGAACAAATATGCAGTCAACGTTCTGATTTTTGCAGAAAAAGCTGCGTAAAATGTAGGTATAAGTTGTCTAAATATGATGATAAGGATTGGCAATCAAATGGAGAAAGACATTGATAAAATGTGCATGAGAAATATCTGCTGAATTTGGTTAAATCCTTAAGATTCAAAAGTATTCGCGCATAACCTACAATACTTAGGACATGATACTCAGTTTTAAGGTGAAGCAAACTTACCTGAAAGTCATGTAAGCTGGGGAGTTTTCCTTATAAGCAAATAATAGGAAACTTATAAACCCACATCTCAAAGCAGAACCCCAAACTTGCAAAACCCACAGAGCAGAACTCATAGGTTATCACATCGGGCAAACCCATATCTCGAAGCAGAATAAAAGACCAATAAAGCCTCTTTCGTCATCCCCTTTTCACAGAGACCGTCGAACAGAATTGTGTAGCTTATGATATTTGGGGAAATGTTGTTACTGAGCATCTCCTTATGAAGCTCAAAACCTGTTTTGAATGAATGCAACTTGAAGTAGCCATCCATCAAATAGCTATTTGTGACCACGTTGGGGACTCTACCTTTTCCTGTTACTTCAGAGAATAAACGACACAGCCACATCCAGTTTCCCTCCTTTACAGAAGACCTGAATCAATATAGTTAATGTGATTGTGTTGTGACCGGTCTGTCTCTTCTTTAACTCTGCAAAGAGATGAACTGCTTCATCCAACATTCTCATAGAGCAATAGCCACAAATCACAGTGTTGTAAGTCACGATATCAAGATCTGGCCCACAATCCAAGACGTACTTGAACAATTCCAACTCTTTTCTCAATTTGCCATCTTTGAAATGTGAATTTACGAGGACGTTGTAAATGGCAAAATCAGGCTTGCTTCCAGTTGTCACCATATCCTCAAAAATTTGTACCCCTGCATCCAACTTGTAGCCAAATTGTGATATTTGCACGGCCCATCAATGAGAACGTAATATGTGATGACATCCGGAAGGAATCCCTTCTTTACCATTTGGAAGAATTCTAACTTGGAAGAAGAACACAATCTTCCATGGGAGCAGAAGAAGTTTTTCAGTGGCAGTTGATTTGGAGTAGGCATCCAGCGGAAGAAGAGAACAGAAGACCAATGTGGAGAGAAATTGGAGCATAAGAAATTGGGGGTAGGCTAAAGAGAAGAGAAGAAGAGAAGCAGGCGATCCGCGGGCGATTAAGGGAGTGTTTGCAATTGCTTCAACTTTAAAAAAGTGATTTTTTAAAGTGATTTGGGGAAAAGTGATTAATAGTAAAAGTTGGTAGTGTTTGAGAAAAAAGTGATTCTGAAAAAGTAAAAGTTGGTAGTGTTTGATAAAATAAGTACTTTTTGTGTAATAGAAAAAGTGAAAAGCAGTTTAAAGCACCCTTCCACCTGCTTCCAGCTTTTAGCTTTTAACTGATTAATTTAAGCAGAAGCTGTCATTTGAAAACACTCTTTTTAACTTTTTTTAAGTCAAAAGCTGAAAAGTGCTTTTTTTAATCAACTGCAAACACTCCTTAATTTTGGAGAAGGATAGGCTTTGATGGCAAAGCTAACCCGGTCATCAACTTCTCTGCCCTAAGCGCTTAAAGTTTCATCTCGATATGCCATCGGTACAATTAGCTATTGCACGAAGAGACACCAACATTTTTTCCTAGACCATTATACCCCTAACAATATTCATGCTTATATAATTGTAGATAGAAATTAGCTATTGCACAAAGAGACACAACATTTTTTTCTAGACCATTATACCTCTAACAATATTCATGCTTATATAATTGTAGAGATAGAGATAGAGATGTAGAGATATCACAACAAAGCTTAATATCTTTTGAAAATACCGAGTATTATGTTTGAAGTTGGATCAAGTTAGATCCGATAGTAAGAAAGAATATGTAAAAGTGAATTTGGAAGGGAAAATGGAAACTAATAATCCAACCTTTCAGCGGTCTTCTTTTAATAGTCCCACCTTTTCGTTATTCATGAATAATCCAACATTTGCACCTCATCTTCATTCATTGGTCCCTGATCGGTTGATGACCTGTTATTCCAAGTTATTTTCTTATATTTGCAAAATATTATCTTTGTGAAAGGTGAAATTTATGGTATAATAGTTTGCTGAGATAAGAAAATAACTCGGAATAGCAGCTCATCAACCGGTCGGGGACCAATGAATGAAGATGAGGTGCAAATGTTGGATTATTCATGAATAACAAAAAGGTCGGACTATTTAAAGAAGACCGCTAAAAGGTTAGATTATTAATTTTCATTTTTCCCAATTTGGAATGGAATTATCCGAAACTGATCCAAATCCACTTATTGACACGTTGCACACCTCTATGTTTCAACTTTCAACCATGCTCTTCGGTGGAAGAAGATCTAGGTTGGCGGAATTTTACTCTTTCACTTTGGCGGAAATGTTTTCTGCAAGTAGGAGGGGATTCGTAAAAAACGACATGGGCAATAAAGGAAAAATACGAAGCAACTAATTCTAAATGCTACATTTGGGGTTTTATTTTTGGGTTGTTTGGAACAAAAAGTAATGGTGGAACCAGGACTCGTGATTTGGAGGGGCACATTAGCACATAAATTATACTACTTAGATATTATAAATATAGCAATAAACAAAACAATAAAATTTAAATAAAAAGTTAATTAAAGAATACCTTAATTTTGATTCGAAATTGATGCGTCAAATGAAGGAGAATAATTGAGAGGCGGCAATCTTTGTCTTTGAGGCGTCATACTCTGAAATCGCTTCATAATGACTATTCTCAATTTTAATAAATACATCTTTGCTAATGTTACGCATCAACCGATTAGTCATGTATTCTTCTTCAATCTTGTTACGCTAATTATTCTTGAAAAACTTCATCATCGATGAAGAACCACAGATGCTCGGCCATTTAGGTTTTAATGTGTAATATCGTAACATAGGGATTGTTTGTCAAACAACCTGCACAAACTAAAATTGAAATAATATGAGTATAATTGTAAAAATTACTCCGTACATTATAACAATTTAACAATGAACAAACTAAATCAACAAATCCACAATTAAAAAATTATAATATAGTTAACATTTTTAATGAGATTATGAAAATAAAATTGCCCAAAAAAAGTCAAGAGTTTATAAAATGACAACTACCACCGCACCAGGGACGGATGTATGTGTATGGGTAGGGGGGCCATGGCCCCTCCCAACTTTTTTATTTTTTAATAATACTACTATTATAAATGAAATAATCAGTAAAGATTGGGTCAAAATTACTCAATAGAAGCTTTTATGTGAGATGCTTTTGGGTAGAATTTTTTGATGAATTTTTGTGAACATGTATTTCATAAAGTGTATATTATATCCATCGTATTTCAGCTTACATGCAATTGGACAGTCAATTAAATAAATTATGGAAAAACACTGAGTTTTTTTTATATATTTTTTGGTACAGTGTTTTTCAATAATTTATTTAACTGATTTGTCGATTGAATTTTAAACTGAAATTAGGTGTAAATAATTTACACATCATGAAGAATATTGTCATAAAATTTCACCCAAAAAATCCATCCGGAAGCACATCAAACACACACATCCGGATGGTGGATCCCGTCAGGTAATTCTCAAAGGATCATTCCTCATTAAAAATATGAAAAAATATGTTTTACTCCTTGAATAGATCTTATTTAGTTCTATTAAAAATTATTTGATTAGTTTGCCAAAATAGGAGTCAAAAAGTCCTATTTTGAAATTAAAACAATAATAATCCTGTTTATAAACTTTTTTTTGTCCTATTTAGAGATTTTTTTCTTTAGTGTTTGTGTTTGTTCTTGGCCCCCCTTATGACTGAGTTCTGGCTCCGTCCCTGCACCGCACCATCCAAAAAATCAACTACTGCGTATTCAACAATAATTCAACTATTCTTTTACTCCGTAATAAACTAGAGCAATCTTAACTACACTGTTTACACAGGCTTGGCAAAGATACTAAAGAAGTATTCCCTAAAAAAAAGATACTACAGGGCACTCAAGAAGCATGATAAGAGAACTGGCAGAGTGGAAGATAACTACGCCCTCCGTTCATTAAAAACACTCTTCAACAACACCACTTATCTGGTTTCTAAATTAGTATTATAATTGACAATTCAACAATTAATACTTCGTATTGTATTTGAATTCAACAAATAAAATTCAACAATTTTAAATGAAATTATCAGAAAAACAATTAGGTTAAAGTATCTAGCGGCTTGCCTGGAGGCTGAGACTGGAGATAGCCGATGGGAGCACCACCGCACCGGAGATTAAGCAAGAAATCTGAAGAAGGGCCGAAGGGGACCGCGGTTGGGCCGTGGTTTGCTCGCTGGGGTTGATGGACAGGGCTTCACTTGGTGAGTTGGGTTGCCAGGGCTTCAGGTCTTGGTCTGGTAGATGGGGCGAGACTGGTAAGGGGAATTGGGACCTGGGCTGCAGGGGCTCAATCACTCAAACTAAATGCAACGGTCAACATTTCACACTTGTCGAGACACAATTTTGATCATTAGTATATATATAAGGTGACAACTCTGGTACCCATTTAAAAAATGGGGTACCGTACCTACCACTCACATGATTGGTCCAAATCATTAAATCATTTTTAATTTAGATTTAAATAATTCAACTGCAACATTCTGATTGGTCCAAGTGGACAAAGGTATGGTACCTTTTGGGTACCATAGAAACTACCTATATATAATTTGTATTAGTAAAAAAATTAAAAAATTTAGATTTTGAAAATTTACAATGAGACAAATTTAACAATATTATTTTCATAAAAAAATATTAATACAGTAATAAATAAAAGGAAAAATTGAAACTAATAATCCCAACTATTGCCGGTCCGCTAACAATAATCCCAACTATTGATTATTTTTGTATAATCCCAACTATATGGACCATCCGCAAATAATGGTCCATGACCAAATATTACCTTCTATAAAAGTGAATTTTAAATAGAAATTAAGCGTAAAAATTAAAACTTGAGATTATTTATAGAGATTACTTGCTATATCTCTTCTCATCCACTTCAGAAAGTACATGAATTTATTTACAGGGACTGTTATTGGCGGAAGGACCCTAAAGTTGGGATTATTCTAAAATAATCGATAGTTGGGATTATTATAAGCGGACCGCCAATATAGTTGGGATTATTACAATCAATTTTTCCATAAATAAAATGTAGTCAAAGTAGAATATGTGAATAATGTAAAATTTTCATATGTTAAATTTTCATATATATATATATATATATATATATATATATAATATTTAAAAAAAACTTCAGGGGCTCGAGCCCCTCCGAGCACCAGTGTAGTTCCACCCCTGACAAAAAGCTAATTGAAAAAATTATTTAATCAAACACTCTTATTAGCTGATTGATCTGATAAAAAAACTAAATATTGTCAATTCAACAAAAAAATGGCTGATAGACTGCTAACCAAACACCCTAATATAGAATATAGACAATGGGATCCACATGACAAAGTTCTCACCTTAAAATATGAAGTTTTTACCTTTAATTCGTAGCGATGCATTGTGGTCTCTTGACATTACACTTATTTACCGTGGCAAAATGTAATCACCTAACTACAAAAATATTAACATGTTTTACTTCACTTTTAATTAATTTTTTATTACTTTGGAGTGAGTTTGGACACTTTTAGATTAAAGACGTTAGATTTTAAATCTAGTGCATTACACTTGCTCTTACTTTTCAAATGAAGCCTTCTTCTTAAATGACCAAACTACACACACATTATACATTGAAAAGAAACTTTTATTAATAATCAACTAGGTTTATTCATCCTTCCTATCCACATGGCATTTGTTACCTTCACAAAGCTTTGTGTGGTCTTAAAGAGGCTCCCCAAACTAGGTTTCATCGTTGCAGGGGGTTTCTCTTCACTAAGAGTTTTCATCAGAGTGAATCTGATTCCACTATGTTTATATACCATCATGAGAATCAAATCCTTTATAATCTCTTACACGTGGATGATATATATCCTTATTATTCGTAATTCCCTGTCTCTCATTCAGACTTTCATTCGGACATTGCACTTCAACTCGCTATGAAAGTTTAGGGGACCTTCACTACTCTATCAGTAATAAACCATTCATACGTACTCCTCATGATCTTTTCCATTCCAAATATAAATATGTGTATGATTTACTATATTGTTCCATCTTCAAGATGTTAAACCAATCCTTACCCGTCTTCCATCACGCACTATATTATCTCTCAGTGTTAGGGATCTCTTAGAAAATGCTACGGGATATCAAAGTATGGTGGATGCGTTACAATACTTAATTATAACTTGACCTGACATTACTTATGTCATACGCATATCAGATATCTTGGTTTATGCATGCTCCTTATACCTCACATTTATTGGTTAAGAGAATATACAGGTACCTCCATGGCACATTTCAACATGGTCCATGGCTTCATTCAGACCGTAACATTTTCATGATTCTTGCCTGCTTGGATGCAGTTGGGCTGGATGTCCATATATCTATCGTTCTAGGTAGTAATTTGATTTGTTGGTGATCCAAAGAGTAACCAACTATTTCTGAATCCTCAACTGATGTCGAGAATTGTGTTGCTGCTTACGCTATCCACAATAAGATGTTTATTCTTTCTCTTCTAGTTTATATGAAATTTTTTACTATCATCACTCATGTTCAGTTATATTGTGATTGTCTCCATCTTATCCTATGATTAATCTCATTTGACATGATCGGAGCAGACATATCAAGATTGATTATCATTTTATTTGTGAAAGGATGGAACATGGTGATCTCATAGATAAATATATTCCTACTCACTTTGAGTTAGCTAACATTTATTAAAAAATTCTTTAGTCAGCATTTTGAGTATTTACATTATGTGTGTCATTGATAAGTCCGTATTTAGACACGCATTTGATGCGTGTTCAGGTCGGATTTTGATGATTTTCCTGGCTTTAAGGCGTTGCAAGTCTCAATTTTGGCTCAAGTTGTGTTTAACAGGCGTTGGATCGAGTTTCATAGCATTTGGAGTTGATTTGAAGAAGTTAGAGTCCGGCAATCGGCGCTTGAGAGGCATTCGGGAAGGGTTTGAAGGCATTCGAGAGAGATTTGGAAGATTTGGAGGCCACCGGGAGATTCACGACGAAATTCTGGTGAAGAAAGAGCACTTGGATCGACGTCGTAGGCATTCGGGAGCATTCGGAATGAGAAACGAAGAAAAACAATGAAGAAATGGCTAGGCACGGCCGTGCCTAGGCCAGGCACGATCGTGCCTGCCATCTGAATCAACGTGAAGCTACTGGCAGCCAGACACGATCGTGTCCGGCGCAGGCACGATCGTGTCTGCATATTTTTTGCGCGTTTCTTCCGCAGGCACGGTCGCAGGCACGATCGTGCCTGGCACCGTGCCTGGCCGCGATTTGTCCTAATTCGACCCGAATTCACTGTTTTCTATAAATAAGGCCTCCATAACCCCGATTTGGGGTTACGAACATTACGGAGAGGCCTAGGGACGAATTTAACACCGTTTTTACGCTATTTTCTTCCAAGACCCTGGGATTATTTGTAAGTTCATCTTTTTAATTAATGACAATTTATTCTATTCATCTCAATTCTGTTGATTCTTCAATTATGAATTGTGAGTAGTTTAATTAGGGATTTGGGGTTGATGAAGGGGTTAATCATGATTGATGGCTAGATTCTTGTCGGTTTAATTGCATGAATGCCGTTTAATTTGTGTTTGAATAATTTAATTGATATCTCTTGTAACCTAGACTGCAGCTAGAATTACAATTGCATGTAGAATAAATTAAGAGAGATCTAATTTGTTCTAGGACACATTCACACACACTTAATCGTTCACTAAGAGATTAGTAGCGATTAAGGGGCCGTAAGCTCGCTCGTCTTGACAATAACTTAGGATCCTGTCGCATGAGAGATCAGCCTGGTCCCCTAAATTATTGTACTCTACGCCGCGAGAGCGGTAAGAACTTAGTAATGATTCGCTAGGCTCAATTAAATTAAATTCATGTAATTAGGCCTGATCAGCCAGAAATCTGGTTACCCCGTAATCAATCCCTGTTCCCTTCGTCGTTAATTGAGAAGAAACCAATCTTTTATTTTTATCGCTCATTAGCATTAGTTTTAATTTTAATTCAATCAATCTCGCACATCGCATTTCAATTTATTTATTTCTGTTTAATCGCTGAATTTAGTTAATCTTTAATTCCCTTTTGTCCGTCCCTGTGGAGACGATACTCGTACTTTCAACCACTTTTCTACAACTATTTTAAGTGCGAGAAAACTCACATCAGTCATCCTATTAGGGTAAGTGTTGAACACATTAATGATATATTTAAATGGTTTACCGACCTCTAGATTGTTAACTCTTTCTGTTATATTGATGACAAGACATCAATATATTAATATTTAATTTAGAAGGAAACAAATTGGCCTAAAATCCAACAACAAAATCACATTGTAGGTCATTTAATGAGAATCCCGACTCAAAGGAAATCATTCATATTCAATAGGAAAGATACCATGGACATCTCGACCGGAAGGAATGCTCGTAAATAACTACAAAGAATTGGGAACTCCTGAACATCAGTATAAATACTCAAGCTCGGTGATGAACAGGGCATGCTTTTACCAAGAGAAAAATATTGAGACAATGAGAGTCATATACAAGGATGTCATAACAAATCGTGTTCCAATGAAAGTTCATTTAGCGGTTCTATGTTCCTTGTTATATAATTATTATTGTTGTATTGCGCGCATTAGAGACGAACATTAGAGAATATTTTTCTTCTAGGGTTTGGGTGTGACATGTGTACTTTGTTATAAAGTCATGAGGCGTCTTATTCAAAAGATAAGGTAGGAAAAACTTTATCTAGAGAGGTTAAAGTTGGAGTGGCTCAAGAGTAAACTAGAAGAATTTATTTTGTACCTTGTAGTTAAAAGGTTTTTAGTGAAAGGTTTTTTAATTCTCCGAGTGAGGTTGAAGTTTTTTTAATCACACTTGGGTCACTGAACTTTTTCTCGTTAAATTCGTGTGTATTCACATGTCTGTTTTTCCCTTCCTCAGAGAAGAACATTGTGAAAATGGTCTTATTCCCACACACACAAATCACCAATCATTTTAATTGTGCGATTCAACCGGTTCATTATAAGTAAGTCAATATTGCATTATCATTTTTAATTGGTTAATAACCTCAGGAAATTTCAAAAATCAATTATGAAAACCTGACATGAAGGATGATACCGAGATAGCGATTCAAATAGAAATCCTTAACTTGTTACAGGATATGAAGATATGATGATTGAGAATAATAAAAACAAAAACAGAAAATAAGTATGTTTAACTAAATGGTGCATTGGATTCATTCTTCCTATCCACATCGCATTTGTTACCTCCGCTAAGCTTTGTGTGGTCTTAAAGAGGCTCCCAAACTTGGTTTCATCATTGCACTGGGTTTCTCTTCACTAAGAGTTTTCATCAGAGTGAATATGATTCCTCTATGTTTATCTACCGCCAAGAGAATCAAGTCCTTTATATTCTCTTACGATAGATTGGATCGGATTTTGCTGGGTTTTTTGTAGTACTTTGTCGTGACATGATCGTGGATGGGGTTCAAGAATCAATTTTCTGTTTATAAGGGCTAAAATCACTTATTTTGGCTTTTTTACCCCATATTGTAGGGCGGGTCTCATTCTCTGTCTCTCAT